CTAGCTCATCACACGCATCTGCTAAGCAAGCCGCGACGAACGTTCGCAAAGTCTTGCTGGCCCAAACCATTCTCTGTGATAAATCGTCAACCCAGATCCTGTGGCTGAGACCCACGTGTACTTGAGAAATGCTGGAAATAATGGAAAGTGTGATGCAGCGAGGGAAACGGGCGCCGCTGCGTAGCCCTTGAATGATCGATCGCCCCACCAAAAATGGCTCACAAACCGTGCCGAACTGCTCCAGAGTCCGCGGCGCTGTGCACTGCGCTACCTCTAAATGCAGAACAGCAGGCGGGTAGCCCAGGCGAAGCGCCGCCTGAATCAACAAGTCCCACTGGGTCCCGTCGTAGAAGCCCTCGATGTCCAGCATGCCGCGGGACGACGAGATCTGCGCGGCAGCTGCCACCTCGCCCCCGAGGGCGCGGTGAAAAGGCCCCCTGTAGGGGGGCGTTCCCTAGGGCCGCTGCGCCCCAGCCATCCTCCGCCACACTGGCCCACTCACGCGCGTGCCCCTCGCGGACAGCTGTCCACAGGCAGCCCATCTTCGACGCCAGCCCGATGGCCCAGTCGCCGTCGGCCTTCTCGGGGAGGAGCTTCCCCAATATAAGCTGTGTCTGGTGTGGCCACGTGAGAGTGGCTTCAATACAACTGAAAAGATCAGCAAGCTCCGCCAAGCCCTGGTCGGGGACGCGCCCGATGTCTACGGGCGCCAGGCGGTCCGCGCCTGTGCCCGTCTTCGCCTTCGCGCGGTGCGCTGCAGCGCGCGCGTCCGCTCCCGCGATGGGAGGTAGCGGCTCATCTCGCGCAGCCTCAGACGCCATCGCAACCGCTTCCTGCAGCCGGCTCATGGCTTCAGGTTGGCGCCTCCAGATCGCCTGCCAGCGGGCCCCCTCAGCGTCCAAGATGCCCCGAGGATTCGACGACGCGCTGAGCGCCTTGGCAACCCCTTGCTTGGGCAAGGGCCCCCCCATCAAGGAGCGGCATGCTGCGCCCCTGGAGGCCTGGTCCGCGAGCCAGCCCTTGAACTCCTGCAAGGACTCACGCGCCGCGCGACGACTCGACCGTTGTCCAACCCGCTCGCCGCGCTGGAAGAAGCCCTCCAGGACACAGCGCGTGCACCCCTCAGCGTTGAGCAGGAGGCTGACCCACTCGTCTAAGGTAGGCTCCACACCAGGTCGAAGGACGCGCCCCACGTGGTCAGGTCGGCCCTCTGCCAGACGCCTGCCAGCACCGCGCAGCTGAACCAACTGCCGCTGGCCGTTGTCCCGACCCAGGCGCCGAACGATCTGCTGGGGAACAGACGGAACTCTCTGCCACCGCGAAGCGATGCGATCACGAAGACGGGTTGCACGAGATCGCCCTGAATGCTTGACTGTCTCGGTTGCGAAACGGCATCCTTCAGCTCGGCTGGAGCCTCCAGGCTGCGAAGACTGATGGCGCTCGTGAATGGCCTGATCTAAAAGGCGAATCAACTGACCGTGCCAAGAACTTTCGGGGCACACGCGCTGTGGGTTGAGCCGAAGGGCTACTGGCGAAGCAAAGCGCACACGCAGGGGCCCCACAAACAGGCGTTGATTTTGCACACGGCACTGCTTCCACAAATCACTGGAGATGCAAAACGAAGGCTCAACCTTGCCAGACGGGACTTCCGAACTGAAAAGGTGGGCTTCGTGCGAGGTGCATCATCTGGCAGGGAGAGGGTCATGAACACTGACGCTGTTAGGAGACTCGACACTGACTGCATCAACGGAATCAGACTCGACTGAAGCAGAAAGAGGCTGATCAGAGAGAGGCTGGCAAGCAAAATGGCAACCATGCGGTGGACCGACGCGGACGACCGATGGCGCTCCACTGTGACTGGCACCCCCTTTCACAAGTGAAGCTGGCCTCACCGCCGTTTCGCCCGCGAGCTGAGGTCAAACCTCGGCCGCCAGGGCGAACATTACCAGACACGCAAGCGAAGGTCGCGCCCCCGCCACCATTTTGCCCGCGAGCGGAGGGTGAGCCTCGTCCGTTGGTGAGACAGGCTGGCAGCATTGCAATCATGAGGTGCGACGACGCGGATGACCGATGACGCTTCGCTGTTGCTGGCGCTCTCTGCGCTCGCGAAGTTGGCTTGATCAGCCCGCGGGTCCTCCTCCTCCTCATCGGGCCAGGCTTCAGCCTCGAGATCCTCGAACTGAGCAGACTGCAACTCATGGGGCACCTGATCTGTACTGTTAGGCTCGGCCTGTTGACTAGCTGAAGGAATCCCTGTGTGATCTCCAAACAATTGCACAACTTTCTCATTGCGGGCTACTCGCAAAACCTCCTGCTGCAGACGGCGGCTGCGCTTGGCAACAAAAGACTTAGGGCCTGCAACGGGCACGGTGCACGGGCGAGCAACCTGCGGCAAGCGACTAGCGTAGACGAGTCGCCTGGTTCTGAGCTTCTGCCAGCTGCGGCGTAGATGAATTGATAGACCGATGCGCGGCCTCCACGGAAGGTCCAACCGCGGCTGGAGCGAGAGAATGTACGGCAAGGCGGCTTCGCTGACGATGGCGTGGTCCAGCATGCCCCCCAGCTTACTGGCATCGCACGTGTACGAGACCCCCATCAGGGGTGACGATGCGGCCGGCGACCTGGCCCAGGAAGCCCGACCGCTGGATGACGCGAGGTTCCACGTTCCAGTCGCCCAAGCAAATCCACGGTAGACGAAGCCCGCGTAGAAGCCCTCCGAGACGATGGAACCCGGCTTGATTGCGGCCCCAGAGGCCGACGGATGTGAACCCGTAGCGCACGCAGAGGACCACACAGTAGCCCTGGAAGTGGAGGGTCGAAACGATGAAACCATCCAGCGCCTGAGAGCCTGGCGCCTTCAAGGCCGAAGACGACGTGGCCTCACGCAAGGATGCTGCCTGCAAATGACCACGCGCGAACACCCACTCGCCCCCCTCGCTGGCCTTGTCGGCAGAAGCACAAGATTGATGTCGACCGCTGGGTCGAGCTCCATTCGGTATGAGTTTAAGCCCTGAAGCACGAGCGCGAGCATCCCACTTACGAAGCTGTGGCTCAGGAGCGTGAGTCTCAACGACCCCCATGTATTCATGCGTCTTGCTGACGAGCTCAAGGTGACCCCAGGCACGATCGCCCATGGCCGTAACGTTGCTGAAAAACACGCTGCTGATCCCCTGCGCGTCCTCGGACTCGGGCAAAACTGGCGCCTGGCAGCACGGCGCCTCCGCCCCAGCGGGGCGCTCGGCCCCAGGCGCTGGCCGTCAGGCCTGCACCTTGGCACCCTTGGCTGCGCCCTTGCCCGCAGCCTTCTTCTGGTTGTCGGCCTTCGTCGCCGCCTCGAACTTGGACGCCGACAGCCGGGTCGCCTCCTCAGCGATAGCCTGCTCCTGCTCAGGGTTGCTGGCCTGCTGCTCCTCCTTGACCTCCACGCCGCTGCTGGTGCCGCTGGAGCCGTCGCCGCCTCCACTGGCAGCGGGCTCCTCGGGCCCCCCCGCCGCGGCCTCGGGCGCTGGAGCCGCAGGCGTGCCGTCCGCACCCATGCGTTTCTTGGCCAAGCGCGTGGTGATGTCGCGCTTGACTTGCGCGGCCTTGTCCAACCACGACTTCACCTCCAAGTTGTTGGCCACGAACATACTCTGCATCTTCTCGAGCTCATCCTTGATCGCCTGCAGCTGCTCCTTCTCCGATGCCTCGACCTCGACCGTGTCGAGGTCGGAGAACAAGCCAGTGTCCCAGTCTCGGGCTCGGCGGCCGCGGGCGGCGGCGTTAGCCCAGCGGCCCGCACCAGCGCCTGCGGCGCCTGCTTCCTGCCGAACTCCGCAGCAGCCAAGGCATGAGCTGCCTCCCTTTCCTTCTCCCTTCTCCTCTGCTGTCGCCAACGCCGTCTTGAGCCTGACGACGTTGGCCACCGCCTGATCGTGCTTGTTGTTGCAATCCTTCCAGACCGCCTCGGCCTTGGAGACCGTGTCGGCTGCCGAAAGCGGGGGGGCCGCCTTTGGCTGGGCCTCCGCGGACAAGGCGTCGACGCGTGCCTTGAGCGTCCGCGTGAGGTCGGGGTCCTGGGAGAGCGCAATGGCCGCCAACAAGTGATCCGTCACCGACGTCTTGTCGTGCCCTGGCGCAGAACTCTCGGCCGCGCCACCAGCATCGGCCTGCTTCTTAGACTTCGGGGCGAACGGTTTGACTGTCTTGCCGCATCTGCAGACGTTCTGAGCACGGGCCAGCATATCATTCCATTCACAGCGGTGGCACGAACCGCATCGGCTCCAGAGACGGGCCGAACACGAGGTGGTCGACATGGCGTAAAACTCTGGTTTTGGTTATCGAACGAGTCCTGGGGAGAACGAAAACGAACGATATGCCTCGAGCGCCACGGGCAGGCGCCAGAGTCGGCCCCAGGGTCCCTAGGGCCTAGATGGCTTGAGGAGAGGAGGAGGAGGAGGAGGAGGAGGAGGAGGAGGAGGAGGAGGAGGAGGAGGAGGAGGAGGAGGAGGAGGAGGAGGAGGAGGAGGGGGAGTCATCGACTTGGGATCGCGCGACAGGGGCGGCGCCGGAGGCGCCGCCGGGGGGCCCAGGCGCGGATCCAAGAACTCCGCGCGGAGCGCCAAAGCTGATGTTTAAGTGGTTTTTCTTCTTCGAAGATCGGCGATGCATCGCCGACACACCGGCGACAGGACCCCGACAGCGAAGCCGCACGGTCCTGGGCGGGGCGGGCTGTCAGGCCCCTGTAGGCGATCAGTGGGCGATTGGGAATCGACGAGTCCCCCCCCATGAGACTATCCCCGGCCACACACATTGGTTTTCGGGCCTTCAGCGGCCGTTCGGGACGATCCGGGCACCCCCGAACGCTTCTCGCCGAGGCGCAGCGGCAAGAGAGCACCCCGAGATGGGAGAACCGCCGGGAACGGACGAAAACGTCCGAAAACCTCGAATCCTGAACCTCGAACCTGTCGTCCCTGAGCCTCGAGGCGATCCTCCCCCCGAACGTTGCCCCTGACTGCCGCCTTCTTCGGAGACACCACCTGGGAGCGCTCGCACTCCGCGCCGCTCGGGGCGACCGGGTTCCTCCCCGAGGACGCCTGCGGGGAGCGCACGCCGCCGTCCACGGCGCTCGGGGCGGCCGACCTCCTCGAGGACGCCAGCGGGGAGAGTTCGCCGTCCACGGCGCTCAGGGTGAGCGACTTCGTCCTCGAGGACCGCTGTGGGGAGAGCTCGCCGTCCATAGCGCTCGGGGCGACCGACGTTCTTCTCCTCCTCCTCCTCGAGGACACTGGTGGGGAGAGCTCGCCGTCCACGGCGCTAGGCGAGACCGACGCGACCGACCTCCACCGAGCGGGGCTGGTCTGTCCCAAGGGCGCCTCCTGAGCCGAGCCGTCCGCCAGCGTGGACGCGACCAGGATGGTCCCCCTGTTGATGTGCATCGATATCCTCGAAGCGGTGGTGCCCGACGAGAGGGCGCACATCGAGGTGAAGAACTTGACCGGAGAGACGATGTGCACGAGGAGACTGACTGTGGAGGCGTCCAGCTTCCAGTGGTCTCCCGGAAAGGCCTCTAGACCGCCCTGATGCTTCAGCCCACACACTATGGCCCCGAAGAGGTGCTCGAAGTTGCACTCGCGCAGCGTCATGCCGTGCATCTCTGGCGGGGTCAGCACGTGGAACAGCGGAAGCATGGACCACTGCATCCAGTCCTGGGTGGACACAAAGGTACTTACCGATACCGAGGGTGCATCCACTCCTGGGTGCATCCAGTCCTGGGTGGACACCCGTACACCGGACCTCTCCTGGAGTGCGTTCTGACCAGAATTTCGAAGCGAATTCAGCGGTGGAGACGAGGTATTCCCTGTAGACCCAAAACAGCAAAACCGAGGCAAGAGCAGCGGTATCGGTACCTTTTCCTCCTCCGAAGTCCAGGTCGTCCGAGCCCGTCAGCTTCTCCAAGTGCTCTCTCTGCACCTCAGAGGGCCTTGGAAGCGGCAGGGTCGATTTGTATAGTTTCCAACAAAACTGGCGTTTGCTTACGGCTGCTCACCGAAACCAGCAAAATGGCGCCAGACTCAACACCAGAACTCAACAACAATGACGACGGGACCCACCCAAAAAAAGAAACTGAAGAACATGACCGGTAACAAAACGGCCTTGCCACTTCTAAGCCCAATTGAGCTCTGCACCACTCCGCCCTCGAAGCCGACCCAGAGCCGGTCGCCAGGCACCACTTTCGGCGGCTCGCCGATCACGGGCTGGACCTGGCCGCGCCGGCGCCCGAACTCGACGCCCAGCAGCTGCATGGCGTAGTCGCTCCGCAGGTCCGCGCACTGGGGCGGGGTCGACGATGTCAGCGGCACCAGGAGTATGGGGCAGAAGAAGGAACAGCGGCAGGAACGCAAGTTTTCGCCAGCGATGCCCTCCCCTCGGTTTCGCCTCTCGTTTATCAGCGCAATGTTTGGAAGGAGGGGCAAGAGGAAGGGGACGATCGCACCAGGCCCAAACGTACACGACCCTCGTTTGCGCCTTTTGGGGGGCTCCTGGGAGGCTCTCGTCGCCACGGCCCAGTTCGCCTCGAAATTCTGGTCCGAACGCACCCCAGGCAGAAGTCCAGGGGGTAGCGGCATCGGTGTCTGTTGTCTTCGCGAAGCCATCTGTAAACATCAACGTTCGGAGCTCCTGCCGGATTCACTCGATCGGCGCCTGAGCCATGCCCCACCATCCCTGGCGCGCGGAGCGCGCCAGGGGCGGCGCCAGATGCGCCGCTCTGGGAGCCCAGTGCTGATCAAATACATCCGCGCGGAGCTCGGAAATTTCATACGTGTGCCCTTTTCATTCTTCGAGTATGGGCAGGGCCATGTGGCACTTGGCGGGGACCACGCGCGTGACCTTGGACGTCTCGAGGGTCGAGGACAGCTGCTCGACGAGGCGAGCTCGAAGACCGTTCCACGCCTCTTCGTCCTGCAGCCATACCCCCTGGGCACCCTGCTCGTGCGCCGTGTCGAAGCGCTGCAGCTGGCTTTCGCTGATGGAGGAGCAGAACAAACGCATAAACATAAGCTCTCGCAGCTTCGCGCGGGTTCCTCGGACAGGCGTTGAGCCCCCACGGCGGTGCCTTTGGCGCCGCCCTTGGCACGCTCCGCGCGCCAAGGATGGGGGGGCCTGGCACCGATCTAAGAAATCTGCGCCGGGCTCCAAAAGATTATGCTTGTGCTGCTTTTCCCTCCTCGAGCTGAAGCACCTCCTGGCGCACATCACCTCGTCCCAAATCCACGTGCGGAACTCGGCGTCCAGCGTCGTGGCGGTGAAGAGGCTGTCCTCCCTTGCAAATTTCGTCTGGAATGTTCCTTCCTGCGTGGAGTCTGAATCGTGCGAAAGTCCGTCGCCGTCTTCCTCCTCGGCATCATCCTCTGTCTCGCCGCACATAAGCTCCTCCTCCGTCCAGCCACACCTGCTCTCGCCAAACTGTCCCAAGGAATGATAGCGCTGCGCATCCGTGATGCTCAGGTGAACGAGTTTCGTGAGCTCCAGAAACGACACCCTCTTCTCCGGCGAGCTCCTGATGTGCTGCACCAGCTTCGGCGAGCGACCCACGCGGCCTGTGAGCTCAATGTGCACGCCGTGGAACACATCCGCTACGGCCATGTGGGGCACGCAGCCCTCGGGGTCCGGATCCAGGCCGACGAAGGTGGCACGCAGCTTTGCGATCTGCCGTGGCCTCATCTTCAGCCTGCGGGCGACTCTGTACTCTTTCTCGCGCGCGAGCAGGCGGTTCTGCTCCAGCAAGCTGAGGTAAAACGCCTTGAACTCGTCCAACTCGAATGTCCCCGTGCAGTCGGCGTCAAAGCGCTCGATTACCGTTGCGACCTTGATTTGCTCGTACCGGGTCGTTGGTGTCATCTTGAAGTCGCTCAGGATCCCGTAAATGTCACGCTTGTGCAGCTGAAGACTGCGGTTGTTGCGAGCATAGTGATTGAACCGTTCTATTAACTCATCTTGAATATCATCCATGACGGCGCTCCGGATGTTGCGAATTATGCCCAATACCATCATGATGTTGCACTTGCAATTTGGCAGAATACTCTCAATGGACCAATGACGAATGAAATGCCAACCCAGGACCCCCGTATCTATCAATAATGCCCTGACGTGTTGTGGTGCGACTACGTCTTCATCGGGGGGACAATCCTCGTCGAGTTCTTCTTGGTCCTGCGCCACGTACCGCCTGAAGATCTTGATAAACGCTTTCAAATCCCAGCGGAATTCGGTGGCTATGGCGGGATTCAGGCTCAAGGCCTTGCCGCGCGAAAGCTGGTCCTCGCTGCGCTTAAGCGAAAGCACCAATCGCAACCGCGACAAACATTCCTCGAATTCGTGAAAGGACAGCCCAATAGCATCCCGCTGCGGAAATGAATCGAGCACCTTCTGGACCTCGCCCTCCTCCATCTTGTCCTGCGGCGCCAGCACGACGCTCTCTTTCAGCACCCGCTTAAGCTGTCTCCTGGATACCCGCCCATTCGTGATACCGCCCGCCGCCTCGAAGAGGCGCATGGACTCATTCCATCGCCACGTCCGGAATTCCTCGCGGGCGACGATCAGCAGAGATAAGAGCTCCTCAAAGCTACATGCGCCAGGCACGGCAACCTGCTGCTCCTCGATCAGTTCGTGCACCCAGCGGAGCTCCTCTGGCGAGGTGGGCTTCACGCCGAGGTCGGAGAGCACCTCGGGAGCGTCCTCCGTCCTGATCGTGCCGACGTCGTCAAAGTCGAAGTGCTTGAAGAGCCGGTAGATGGCGTCGATGTCCTCTTCGGTGACAAATTATGGGAGTCCTGTATGCCGTATTCATTTTGACTTTAGCGTCGATTAGCGTCGGGTAACGTCTGGTAATTGATGAGATACCGATTTAGCACCAACTGGCGTCGACTAGCGTCGAATAAGCGTCGACCACCATCGGTTTGCGACGATTGCCGTCGGCCAACAAGAAGGTAGGGGAGGCTCCCATGAGTTGCCACCGAATGTCCTCTGCCATGTTGGTATTGTTCCTGATCACCTCTAGCTGCTTCTTGGACAGGGTGTTGGACACAAGCAACTGCGGGTCGTCGTCCACGGAGAGGGACAGCTGTTTCATCCACGCCGGCTTGGCACGGAACATCACGGCCACCGCGACACACCGTCGCAGCTTCGAGCGCACTCCGCCAACCTGCCTGTTCACCTTCCCAGCCGCTGCTCCTGCAGGATCCGCCCGTCAGCATCAAGTTCAAACATTGGCTCGACTCGGAACGCAAATCGCATCGGACCGCATCGGCACGGAGGTCTCTATATGTATAGTCGAATCAGATCGGCCGCGACAGGACGCGCAAACCAGCGCCATACCGAAGCGGATCGACCAGATCGAGATGGGCCTGGGCCCTGCTCCTGCGGGCTTGTCCGCCTCCGAGAACTTCTTCAGGATCGGGATCATCGGAGACGGTGGCCGCGGCGGCGGGGCCGGCTGGCAGGGTGCGCTGGCGTAGAGCGCGGAAGCGGCTGAGGTGGAGGAGACCTTTCTGAGCAGGGACCGACCGTTCCGGCACTCCTACGGTCAGGAAGTTCTGCACAGCGTTAGGTCGGGCGCGTCCTCCTGCAGGCGGATTTGAGGCGAATCTCAAAACAAGACTGTCCAAGAGCAGCCCACACAAGTCAAAAAGTTATCAAAAGAACGGCCCCAGTTTATTTTTTGACTATTCTCGAACACTCCTGTAGAGGGACGTGCCCGACTTAAGCATAGCGTGTCGCAGCGGCGGCCCTGGCGACATCCCCTGCGAGCGGATACAGCGCGCCGCTCCGCCGCGCAGGGCGGGGAAGGCTTGGCGAGGCTCGGCGACGCTGACGCCTCGGCTACCGCGAAGTGGTCAGCGTGTCAAGGCGAGGCGCGGCGGAGCAGAACTGGCGGAGCGACGCCTTTCCAAGCGTTCCCGACCGTAGAACAGAAACATGTGTTAAGAACCGAACTCGGAACATGTGAAACCAGAACCGCTTCAGTAAAACAAGCCTGCCCCAGCCAGAAATGGTCTCATAACAAGAGCAAATCGCGCAAGCCACACAAAAGGACACTAGAACATACTTTGGTGGGCCTGTGGGGCGAGTCGGGAAGCTTCGCCCATGCCTGGACCTCGGAGAGCTTGCAGTACTGCAAGGACCAACTGGGCGCCGGCCCCGCCGCGTCCGAAACGGGGCGGCGCGGCCTGGCCTCGGACCTCCGCGCGCTGCGCGCGGCGGCGCCGCTGGTGCCCAAGCTGGCGGACCGCCCGCCGGTGCCGTGCACCGATCGCAGCGGCGGCATGCTGCGGGCGCTCGGGGCCGCGGCGCCGCTGGCGGCCGGCACCAGCAGCCGCCTCGGCTCCGCAGCGGCGCCCTCCTCGGCCAAACGCAAAAGGTGACCCGAGGCACGAGGAGGAGGAGAAGGACGAGGAGGAGGGTTTGGCCTGAGATCCACAGAACAAATCCGAGACTGGAACCTCCATTTTCGAACCCACAGGCTTGACCCTAAGCGAGTGCCCGCAGGCGCCGCGACATCATCATTTCTTCTCTTCTTGCCCTCGGCGAGCCTGCAAGGCATCGCAGGGAGAGGGCGAAACGCCACCAAGCACGGCTACTGGTGGCGATAGACAGTGCATACCAGCGACTGGCAGCTCATCATTCTGCGCAAGAGAGTGTCGGAGAGATGTCTACGACCTGGAGATGTCAGATCTGTTCGAGAAACGTAAAGAACTATCACAATCGCTGTCTATGTGGCCAGTATTGGAATCAGCAGTCTCGTCCAAGCGGCCAGGAAAGAGAAGTGCGAGCGGAGGCAGAGAGAAGCAACAGCAGGAAAACAACATCCGAAGCTACATTCTGAAGCTCCCGCCCATGCCACACAGGGCGGCCAGGACGCACGGTACGTACTGCCCGCCCCCAGCGATTGCGGCAGACCTCGGATCGTACAGGACCGAGGCAGAGAACAATATGAAGGACATCGCCAGCATGGCCATCCTGGCCAGACGGGCGGCCAAGGAGGAGGACGCAAAGAAACACGACATGGAGCTGATGGTGATGAAGTCGTGTCTCACTGCGTTGCTCACTGTGGGGAAACAGAAGGACGATATAATGTTCAAGCAGGACAAAGCGAGAGACCGACTGGTAGCAGCACACGCCAGCGTACGATACCTAAGAGATCAGGAGCGCGAAATCGAGACGGAGTTGGATCAGCTGGAGAGTTGCATGAACGAGTTGCTAGAGATGCCGGGCGACAAGAAGGACGAACAGATGTACACAGGCGGTGGCGAAACTGCCAACTATGGCATGGCATCGGCAAGTGGGCCATCATATGCGCCTGGTGGACTGGCTGGGCCGTTGGGACCACAGCCGCAGTACATGTGGGGCGCTGCGAGCTCGATGCGCCAGCAGATCCCGCCCACGGCGCAGCAACAGTGGATGCAGCAGGCAGCGGCCTGGGACAGCAGGCGCAGCCGCAGCAGTGGCAGCGGCGGCGCCCACACAGGCAGGGGAAGCTGCCCAGCATGACAACCAGCAGCCAATAGCGCCAGCGCCAACAGCCATCGAGCAGCAGCAGATGCAGAACCAGCAGATGATGAACCTCATCAGCGAGATGAACCAGCGGCAACATAGGCAGGAAGGCAACGTGACCTCCATGCTGCAGTTGATCCATCACCAGGCGACGGCCAACGTGCCGAACGAGATGCAGCCAGCGGCCGCAGCGGCGATGGTGGCGGGACAGAGCCACTCACGCCAGTAGAGTCTTACCTCTGAGAATCAAGGTAAGATGACAAAGGAGGTAAGGTCTCGTGTTGGCTCTGCTCAGTAGTAGAGGATACGGGATGAGACATCGATGAAACTGCAAGTAACCGTTAAGCAATTGTATTCACGAGTGGGAAGGGAGGAGGCCGGCCGGCCGACGACCTACGACACGCGGCGGCCGAGGGCTGGTGCGCTCCTTTTCTACCCTGTAAGCGCAAACAGCTGCGGTGCAGAGCCGCAGGGTCAAGGTGTGGCAAGGCAGGCAGCGAGAGAGGCAAGTGCAAGATGAGGCGGAGAGGAGCATATGTACTCCCCCCGCGGCGGGCTTCGTAGGGCCCATCCGGCCACAGCTCGCCTGGCCTGTACATATACACAGCCACCGGAGCGAACCGCAAAACATTTTACCGCTCGACGGTGGTTGCCAGGGAGCTGAGGGCCGAAGAAACCCGACGATTCCCACCAATAGTTAAATTCGCCGGCCCAACGGGCCAGAGGCGTGCTAAGATCTCCGGTAACTTGTTAACAATATTTCTAGTTCGCGCGCGCGGAGCGGCCCCTGGGGGCCCCCGGGCGAAAAGTACCCCGGCAAGGTCCCGAGAGAAGCCCGGGAGAAGCCACCAGACCACTCCAGGGCAAGGTATTTTTCGACACCCCTCACGAGGATCGTGGCCTCCGAGGGGGGAGCCGCAATCGACTACCCCCAAGAGCCCCCCAAGAGGCCCTGGGGCCTCCAAAACGCCGCCAAGGAGCCCCAAGAGACTCCCAAGAGGTCCCCAAGAGGCCCTAAAGAGGGCTCCAGGGCCGGCGGCATGAGCGAAGCGATTAAATAAATTGTCTCTGCCGATACAACTTTGTCGATCGGTTGAGCCCGCAGCGACTTGGTCGCGCGGGCTCGGCCTTCTCTCAGATCTTGCGCTAAAGATATCCCCGCGATGGCGGAGACGGAGGTCTCGGATGTGAAGATGACGAGCCCCCCGTCTGATCCGCGGCCCAATAGGGCGAGCGGGACCTGTATGCCTTGACGCGGCCAGCGTAAGGCGCTGGCCTGTTGTGTTTGTCCTTGTTCTTGTTCTTGGAACCCTTTCCTTCTCTCGGAAAGCGGTAGTTGTAGTCATTCATGTACGCCGCATGCCACACGCGTGACTGGTTCTCCCTCGGGCTCATCCAGGATATCAAGTCCCGGTGTGCCCAGTATCCATCCAGTACGTCATTCGCGTAGCGCAGGCAATGCCTCGAGGGGTCGAAGCCGGCAGCCCCGCGCCCGGCATCCATGGCTCCGCCGCGCGCGCGCGTAGGCCACGACCAATCCCGTGTGTCCCTGTCAGACGAATACCATGAGTACTCATCTCCTGCCGCAGCGGTTTGACCGCCGGCAGAGTACGGGGATTCCGTGACTTCATCGTTAGCCCGATCGTCTTGGACGTCGGGTCTGCGTGGAGGAGGTGGCGGTCTGGGCCTCGCTTTCGCCAGAGCGGGCCCCCCCGTATCGGCTTGGCCGTCGAGGGGCCCATCAGCGCCTCCACTCTCACGAATAGTCATCACTCGCTTTCCGGCGAATCTAATAATATCCCTTGCGGCAGTAGCAACAAGAATACCAAACGTGCCGCAGGCACCACGAAAGTGGCCTTCATCTTTGTCTTGAAGCTCAGTGGCTTCCACATGTGGGTATAGCCAATAGCTTCTTGTAACTTCATGCCCTGACGACGGATATCGGCACGGGCCTGTTTTCTCAAGACACGGGCCAATTCCTCAACGAGGCCGTCTGTCTCAATCGCCACACGAATGCGGCAACCAAGGGCGCATGCATCCTTTTCGACGCTTGTCATCATCGCACTCTACGCCGGTGCCTTGGGCAAGAAAGTTACGCCAGGGTATACAATGTAATGTCCCTCGGCGATGAAGCAACTAATGATCTCGCGAACAATCACAATCACGCGAATAATGCGAAGACCCAACTCCAGTGCTGGAACAGGGACCTTCCAGTTCCGATCAATGGTGCTCCGCACATGTTCTGGGACTTCGTGCGTTACTTCACCCGATAGTCGTAACCTTTCAGGGTCATTTGCCTCCAGGCGATAGCTGGTGTATTCCATCGCATATTGAGCGGCCACTTCTGTGGCTCCGTCCTCGGTCAACGTGATGTTCAACGATTTGTCGTCGCGATGGGAATGCGCGTACCCATTGGGCTGATCAAGATTGATCTTCCCGCCAATTATCTGCTCGGTCTGAGACCCGCAGACTGCAGTGAAATCAAGGGTCATGTGTAGTTTCTCCTCACCTGCCGTCGCGGTTGGACCGGCGGCAGGTTTGGCATGCGTGCAAACTGAAACGAGAGGGTGTTCGGAACATATTCTGTTACGCCTGCTGACGGACTGGGAAGCACGACGAGGACGTGCCAGACAATTATTTGCCCAAGCAACCGGTGGACGCCCACGTAGGCTGGGCCCTGTGACGCCCATGGCGTTGCCCTGATCAACGGGCAGCCAGGGTGCTGTTCCATCTTTTGCGTTGCGCAATGTCCGAAGCGTTGGCACGAAGATGTTCGCCTTATCCACGTTGCGCTCCCATTCGAACCAACCTTCTATTGGTTCAAAGCGTGTGTCAGGGTCCTCTGGCCACTCAAAGGCAGCCAGAGCAGGACAAGAAATGGGACGCGCATGCTGGTCAATTTCTGTTGCCCAAAATAAGGGCCACCACTCTGCGATCGGAGCTTGAGTCGCTTCTCTCTGAGCCAAATGTGCAAGCCATTTGATGAATCGCCTC